ATAAATTAATATATTTTCATAAAAGTCAGGTTTTGGTTGGCGGACTAGTGCGGTCCTTCTGCTTCTTAGTGTGTCTTCCACTATAATAAAAAGCAAAATAAAGCACTGCTACAAATAATAGAACCAACTATTTTATGGTACAAATATGTTTCTTCCCTATTTTTCTTACTCTTTTATTTATAATCAAAACTCTGTAACTGGCCAATCGCCATGCAATGGTACAATAGCTGAGTGTAACAAAGAGTTGGAGATATTAATGGAGGCTGATATTAGTAGAAAATTTCTTGAAGAAAGAAAAAAAATATTTCTTCTGGAGCATTAAAAAGATCAATATCAATTAGAAATTAATTGATCAACTACATATTAATAGTGTAATATATAAAATACAATTTGATTGCTCTAAATGAAAACTATTTCTGACTCAGAACTTTGAGCTTTAATGGAGGATTGAAACTCTTTTTGGGTTCTTCAACTAATCTATTCCCACCAATCCCTAACCTTTTTCGCCCTAGTATAAGAACGATCCACGTCTCCGGGCAATGATATAACATTACCATGTTGGTCTAAATATAACAAATGGATCCCTATCTTCTTTAGGGTAAAGTCGTCAGACCACACTTTTATCTTTTTCCCGCCTTTGATCATCTGGCCATCAAAAGGTTCATCTAAGTAAGATATGTAACATACAAAGGTCAATTCTCTGTGTTCTTCAGGTATATTCAACGGCTCAATTAAAGTCTTTTTACGGGCAATACTAATTGAGAAGCTTGGAAAAGGGGCTTCATCAGAACAGCCGAAAACAAACCAGAGAACCATTCCTAAGAAGTTACACTCCTTATTATGTGTCGGCATAGTCAAACGCATAGATGAAGCTGTTACTTGATTCCTGCACCATTCTGGAATCTCATCACATTCCAGATAAATTTCTATTTTACGCTGCATCGGACAAAAACTCAAGATCATTAATATGTGTGTGTGTGTGTGAGAGAGAGAGAGAGAAAGAGAGAGAGAGAGAGAGAGAGAGAGACTAACATCATTTGGATCTTTTCTAGATAGAAATGATAGAGCAGGTGCACTGAAGAAGCCTTCATTGAATGGATTCTGCAGAGAACTACAACTTGTCATGTTGATCGACCATATAGAAGGGAGGTTGTCCAACACTGTAATCTTGACCAATTTTTGGCAATTCTCAAGTTCAATAATTGCAAGATTCTCTAAATTACACACTGACATGAGTGTTTGAAGATTCTCACAGTCATTCAAATACAACTCCTTCAATAATCGTAACTTGGAAAAATCAATGGGTAGACAATGAAAACTGTTGCCACTCAAATCTAAATATTTTAAGGAGGATAAACTCCCAATATTCCTAGGAATATGAGCCTCGGACAAATTACAGTATGTAAGGCTCAAATCGGATACAAAGGTTGACAAGGAATATTGTATCCGATGGACTCCTCTTTCAGAAATACTCCTTTCGGCCTCTAGCTTTCGACCTCCCACTCTCAAAGTTTCAAGATTTCTTAGCATTTCAACGGATCTAGGCAATTGTTTTATACCCGTATCATATGCTTCAAGAGATCTTAGATTTTTCATATCTCCAAGGTTATCTGGCAGTGTTTTTATAGATGAGCAGCCATCGATGTCCAAGTCTTCAAGGGATTTTAGCTGACATATGCTGCTTGGAAGATCCGTAATTTTTTCGCAATTAGACATATCTAGTTTAATTATTCTGTCCAAATTTCCTATTGACGGATGGATCTCTGTCAGACTTGAACAATTACCAAGGAACAAATTCTCAAGACTCACAGAACCATCGAAGTTTGGAGTGCTTCTGAGTTGCTTGCAATGAGAGAGATCCAACTTCTTCAAACTTCTACAACACTAAAAGTAAACCAAATATAGTTTCAATTAATATTTTCTTTCATTCGGTGGCAAACAATACGCATGAAATTGTATAATTGACTAACAAACCTGCAAATTCAATTGAAATTCTTGGATATCACTCTCCCGCATATCTAGAACTACCAGATTCTCAGCTGGAAAATTTGATGGTATACATTTTAAAGGACATTTTTTCCAAGATAACCATCTGAGCTCCTTGGACAACAGCTCAAAATCTCCACTAATATGTAACTCATCCATTATAAGAACCCTAAGGGTTTTCATTTTCTTAAATGCTTTGGTGCTCAAGTTCACTCCCTTAAATTCCCGTCGATCTACCTTCAGTAGTTCTACCTTTTTGGAACCCTGTATTTTGGTGGAAAGATTAGTATCTTAAGACCATATTAAGTCCCACATATTAAGAGGGGAAAATGTTTTAGACCTATTGAAGGTCAAACAAAGAGGTTACACCATATGTATGAAGAAAAATGAACTTACACATTAGAGGATATTAAAAAAATGTAAAATTGCTCAGAAAGCTAAGATGAGAGTCTTTCAAAAACTAGCTAGCACCATTCAATAAATTCACATGATAATATCAATGCGGAAAAACATAAATAAACAGAACAAATTGCCTGAAGCCCGTTAATAGTATCAATTAAAGATAGAATATATATTATCTTATATTTAAAAGAATATTTTGTATATATTGCTCTAGAAATAATAATATAAATGTTACACATATGTACCTATTCAACTGCTTTCAAAAGTGCACATGCCTAATTTCTTAGAGAGCAAACTTAATTTCCACAATTAGATAAAATAGGAAATCAGTAAGAACATAATTAAACAAAAAAATGATGAATGAGAAAAAAAGAAGATAACTTCAAACATCTTTCAATAACTAATCTTGGAGATAATATGGTATATGCCCACAAGCGTGTGTGTAAATATATATAGTCTTTAGAGTTTTGAAATGTCATTTCTACTTTGCAATGGTTGACAAACTACTAGAAAAAACTAACTAGAGACGAATGCACAAATGAATTTAATTCTAATGATGAAAAAATAATTATAAGTGGAAAGAGAAAAGTATTACTGACTTTATTTCCTTGTAGAACATCACGGACTTCTTGCGGGTTGAATAATCTACTCCGTTTTCCAGGATCTCGAGCTGATTCCATGCGAACGACTTCTCTTCCCATATCTCGCACTAAATCATGCATCTCCAAAATATTCAAAGATCTTTGAAGCAAGTGTCTTTGGACTAAAGTTGCAATTGCACTTTTAGCATGAAAGCCACATGCATTTACCATTTCAGTAACTTCATGCTCATAAAACCCATGGAAGGCGCATGCAATATCGAGGAAAACAGTCTGTGTTTCATCATCAAGTCCATCAAAGCTTATCTTGAGAATCTTTTGGATATCACAATGAGGAATTGATTTTAGTTTTTCGAATTCATATCCCCATTCTTCTATAGAACTTCCTTGTAAATGTGACCCCAATGTCACAAGAGCTAATGGTAGCCTACCTGAATATCTAATTATGTCTCGTGCCAAATTAACATAATCTTCTGGTGGAAAATGACTGTCAAAAGCATGCCAGCAAAAAAGTAACATAGCTTCATTGTCATTTAATAGTTTGGCCTCATATCTCTCTTTTTCTCCAAACCGGCATAGCAATCGCTTGTCTCGGGTGGTAGTGATTATTAAACTACCCGAACCAAACCAACTTCTTTCTCTTGTTAAGGATTCTAATTGGTTTTTGTGGTCCACGTCATCAAGAACAATTAGAACCTTCTTTGACTCGAGTCTTGCTTTGATTAGATTGATGCCTTGAGCGACACTGCCAACTTTCATGTCCTTATTTTTGAGTACTTGTTGAAGAAGTTTCTCTTGTAACTTGACAAGACCAAATTCTTCAGCTTCTGATCTAACATCTGAAAGGAAGCAACTACTATCGAAGAGTCGAAACATTCGATTGTAGATAGATTTTGCCAGAGTTGTTTTCCCTATGCCACCAACTCCGTGAATACCAATCATGCGAACTTCATCCTCACATTCATTTTGCAATAACAACTCTATATCTTTGACACGAGAATCTACTCCAACTGGGTGCCAAGCAACATCTAGAGGTGTCTGGTTGACCTCTTGTAGGACTTGTTGTATAATTTTTTCAATAAACTTTGATTCATGCCTACAATTTTTTTAGCAAAATCAAAAAACTAAAAGAAATACTACTCCAATAAATAAAACTTTGATATTTGAAAATATTTGACAGACAAATCAAAATCGATAGCCAAGACATAACATAGTGGGATGAATCTAAGCAAGAAAATAGATAACTTACCGCGTCATATAGGATATTTTAAGAAATATAAACAATTGTACAAATAACAAATAAACTTAAATAGTTGAATCAAGAAAATGTACCCATCAGCAACATTTGGCAAATCCCATCCAGATAAATTCGCAGCTTCAGTAAGTGCAGCTCTCCATTTCTCCACCCTTTGAGCTCCAAATGGTCGTTCCTTATGTTTTGCCAAAGCTTCACCAAATAACCCAGTTTGCTTTCGTACCTCAGACGGATCAACATCATAGAAAATAGGCAAAACTATCTGCTTTAATTTCTCTTTGCATTCAAGAATTTTAACTAGCTCATTTAGACACCAACTAGAGGAAGCATAATTTCTTGAGAAAACAATAATGGAAATTCTTGATTCTTCAATTGCTTTCTCTAGTTTACTTGAAATCACATCACCCTTTCTTAATTCCTCATCATCAATGAAGGTATTAACTCCAACATCAGACAATTTGGAATAAAGATGACCAGTGAATGTTTTTCGGGTGTCTTCACCTCTAAAACTGAGGAATACTTCATAAGAGAAGTGAGAAGATGTAGATGATTCTCCTCTGACTAATTGAGTATCCATTAAAGGGTTGATGAGAACGCAAGAATTAAGGGATGAGTTTTTAGTAATTGAGTATCTTTGGACTGAAAACACAGAATCTAATCCATGGCGGTCCCCTACCCAATAATAAAGTTCACATCTCACTTTCTATCTCCTCCACTTCTTCTTTCCGCCCTCAACCCCTTTTTTTCACCTTCCAATTATGGCAACTCGAAAGCCAACAACTAGCCCAATCATTCACCTCTGCCGCCGTAAAACTCTCCGCATGCTCCTCACCCGCAGCGGCAACGCCAGTAGCGACGGAGGAAGTGATCGACGGCTATTTTCCGAGGACGATGCGTCGCCGGATCGGATATTCAGCGACGGAGATTCGCCGGATAAAAAGGAAGTGGTGGTGAGAAACAAGCTTAAGGATTTGTTCGTTTCGTCGCCGGAAAATTCAAGTGCCGGTGGTAGTATTGGATCGGCAGTTCGGAGAATTCAGCCGTTGACGGCAACGTTGGTTAGGAGGGTTTGGAGACCTGGATAATTAAATTGGAATATATTGTATTAGCGCTAATTGCGCTTATTAGAGAATAAATAAAGTAAGATTTGGCTTTTTATTTTTATTTTTAAAGGAATGAGTTTTGAGTAAAGGGAAAGTTAAATATTAGCACAGGTCTTATGGTTTCTAGCTGGAAACTTAGCTAGCGTTTGGCCATAGATGTCAAATTTATTTTGAAATATTTGATTTGGGTGAAGTTTGATTTGAAGATGAAAATGTGTTTGGACATGTTATTTGAGAACATATTTGAGAACATATTTCATGTGTTTGGAGAAGAAAATGTGAAGAAAATGTGAAGTTTAGCCCAAATTCACCTTTTTTGCTAAATTTGAGATTTGAAGTTTAATTTGAAAATAAATTTCACATTTATGCTCAAATTTATGGCCAAACATAGATTTGAAAATAAATTTCAAATTAAACTTCACAAATTCTATGGCCAAACAGGGCCTTAAATTTTCGGAGTCGGGACAAGTCAACTACAACCCTTCAGTAGGGTTAAGCGAAATAAAGTGGAAACAAGGGGCCCGTTTGGCCATAATTTCACTTTATAACGAATTTTGTTTACTTTTTCGAAATTTCACAGATTTCACATCCAAATGCACACTTAACTCTTGGGTCAAAGCCATTTACAATACCTTACATAAAGTTGTTGACCGAAATAAAAGAGAAGTTATTTCTTAAATATCTTTTTTGTATATAATGTTTAGTCTTATAGTGTAAACTAGATTTATGATACGCGCAAACTTATATCAATGAATGCTAAATTTTAAAAGATATATAAATATTACTTCCTCTATTTTAATTACATAGTATATTTTTCTTATTAAAATAAGATAGAAAGATAGATGGATCCGTGTACATTTTTATTGTTGTGGACATTACATAGTAGTTAAAACTAAATAAAGATCTAATGTTATTTGTTTTTAGTCCTTTTATATTAAAAAAATATAGTTTTTGATTTGCGACTTTGAATAATTTTGATACATGGTTTTAACTTTGTGAGTTATTTCGATTTTAATAATTTTGATACATGATTTTAACTTTGTGAGTTATAATATTTTTCTCTTTTTTGTCAAATATCAATAAAATTTACTATCTTCAGCGTTTAAAAAAATACAATTCCACAAACCAAAACTTAGTTAACATTGCTAGTAAACTCATGAGTTTATTGATTAGTGCAACTTCAATACTAACATCTGTAACGATAATCGTTTTATTTACCAATTGATGTGATTTCTGACATTGATCAGTTATTTGTTTGATTGGAGTACGTTCTTGTTGTTAAAATAAATATTTCATATAACTAATAAATTCATATTTTTTTGACCTATTTAAATGCTCTTGATTATTAATAAATACGGGTTCTCTTCTTTTGCATTTCAAAAATCTTTTTCTTTATATCGCTTTCACATTACCGACAAGTGAATTAAAGAATTGGTCAAAATTTATTTATTTCATCCATCTCAATTTATGTGATGATATTTTTATAAATATGAAACTAAAATGGAAATAATTTTTGTAAAACAAGTCACACAATATTTCATTACAATTAGAATGAAATAAAAAGATAACAACGGTTAGAAATTTGGCCTTTTACTTGCAAGCAAGCTATCTCCTACTTTTGGGGAAACTGAGACATATTCTAGTAACTTTGTTTGTGAGTCACCTCATTAATAATTCTTTTGTTCTTATATTAACACACTTTCTTTTTTAGTCTGTTTAAAATAATATTATTTTTTATATTTAAAAAATTGAACTTTAAAATACTCATTTAATCTTAATGAGATAAATATATAATCACATCAATGTTTAATGCTTGTTTTTTCTTTCTCTGTCGAATATTGATTGGCTGATTTTGACACGTCATTTTGATCAAATTTGTCTAGAGTATTCATAGCAATATTCCTTGACTTCAAGGACCAAGAGACGTGACAACCTAATCGGCTAGAAAAAAAAATAGTGTATTTGTTTCAGCTATTTATTTAAAGATTCCATATTTTTTATGGGATTGTTACATCAATAATCGACCAGATTCAACATTAATACAACTAGCAACTTCGGATATTGAATGCTTAAACCAAATAATAACTTTCTTCTTCATAATTATGCTAACTTTAATTTTGGGTATAGAGCTGTCAAAACGAATTAACCCAATCTGGTTCAACCCAAGTGAACTAGAGAAATTTTATATTGAATGTTAATGTTATGATATGTTTAAAAATATAAGTTTTAAAATTCATAAATATGACAAGCTTAAGATTACAAAATATTTTTTATTCAATTCTTCAAATATTTCTTGTCGGAGAAAACCATCTTTAGAAAGAGGAGCTGGAAAAAGACTGCAAATTGTAAATTCCCAAAATAAGAAGAAATGTTTGAGGTGCAATACTCTTTATGAAGACGAAGATAATTCCCCCATTGCCTGCTCTTTCCACGGCCACACTAATGGTAGTTGTCATCTTCCAATTCTTGATTTTGCTGCTTCCCTTTGTTTCTATCTGTTTTCTCTGTATAGAAAATATGTGTGATAAGAGTTATGTTTCTTGGTAGGAAATAAAAATGGTTAGAAAATAGCTGAATAATAAGTACTTCCCTAGTCCAGAGAATGTTTTGGAGTGAATTGGAGTACTTAGTTCCATTGTCGGAAGCTTAAGTTGTAAGAGTTAACTAATCTTTTACTTTCGTGTAAATAACCTCGGATTGGTGATTTGGTGCCATGTTTTGGAACTTCACTTTTGTCTCAATTAATCATTTTGTCCCTTAACAATAGGGCACAGAAAGTGATAGCTCAAAATAATCCTTTCAAATTAGTGTTACCTTCGTTACATCTAGAGGATGGGATTATAAAAAGAGCAGCCCGATGCACTAGGGTCCTGCTATGTGCGCGGTCGGGGAATTCGGACCACAAGGGTCTATTATACGCAGTTTTACCTTGCATTTATGCAAGAGGCTATTTCTACGGCTCGAACCGGTGACCTCCTGGTCACATGACAACAACTTTATTAGTTACGCCAAGGCTCCCTATCTGAGGAGGGGATTGTCCTTAGGAACTATTCCACACCATTAGCATGATTATTGAATCTGCGTCCCTTGTTTTTGTGTCGCATCGCCAACTTAAATATGTGTCTTATCAAGAGTTTCCAGTTACCAATGAGGTGTTCGATTCACTTTATTTTAGTTTTCCTTCCAAAATGGAAAAGATTATCCGGTTACCGATATTGCTCGAACTCTTCAAAAATGTTGTAGTGTGTGTGTCGGATCCTCCAACGTTCGAAAATAATGGAGAATCCGATATGGGTGCGACAACCTTTTAGAGGGTCCAAGCAGCATAGCTGGTTATGGCTATCCATATTTATGAGGAAATTGAGCAGCATAAGAAGTCCTAAGGTGTTGGAGTAAAGAAGTTTTCAGTCTGTCTCATTGAGTTTGCTGATACTTCTTCAAAGTTATTTGTTAGATCAGTGAACCTCACCTCAGTTGAAATCCCGTCGTATCTTTGCTTCTTTCATTAGTGTCTGCCATCCATGGCTTGCTTCTGTGTTGATTTATCGTTTTCCAACATTGATGAGCTTCTTACAAGCTTGGTTTGCGGGAGTGGATTAACAAATTTTGTGTAATTGAGGTCCAATTAGTGTAGTAGTAACTCAAACCTTGATGATCAATTGTGTTACACCTGCTGCAACTTTCTATGCTAGAAGCTGGAAAAAAAAAAAGCAATTGAGGAACGAGTGTTACACCATGATGGAGGTTGGGCGTACAAAGACGGGTCAAAGAAAAGGACCGACATGCTTCTAGGCTAGCAAGCTTATGAAGAAAGGATGCACATGACACATTCGATGAATCTCATACCGGAATAGGATAAGAAAATGAAGAGTTTCATAAGGCATAATCGGAAAATATGTGATGGACTTGGGCTGTGACAATGGGATTTCCAGGAATAGTCCGCCATGCATTTGGACATCTAAAAAGCAAGAGGAAGGAAGATACAGAGAATAGATTTAGGGCCAAATAGGAGCATGGGGGGATTTCCAGGGGTAGTCCGCCGCTATATTGCTCAGACTCTCAAAAATGCTGCTGCAACAGTGTTGGATCTTCCAAAACGTACTACTTTTGGAGGATCCGACATGCAAACGACGACATTTTTGAAAAGTCCGAGCAATATAGGTCTGCCGTACATTTGGATATCTAGAATTGCCACTGTTTGTGTTCTGTTTTCTGGTGCTATGTATATAGGTGAATACCAGTGTTTGAGTTACCACGATGTCCTGTCATTTATCTTTAAGTTGTGGAGCTATGTACATTTTGCTTGCACTCATAAAAATGTCGCCGGATGCATGTTGGATCCTCCAGAAATGGTACATTTTTTAGAGGATCTGAGATGGGAGCAACTGCATTTTTAGAGAGTTCGAGCAACATAGATAGTAGGTTCAGGTGAATTAGTCGAGTAGCCACGATGTCCTGTCATTTTCTAGCTTCTATTCGTTAATTTCTTTTGCTGCTATTCAAACTTTGATCATCTTATCCATATGGATGTTTTGCTTTTGAGCACCAACAGGAGATAAAGGACTATTTTCTCTGGCTCCGCCTCACCAAGGAATCGATGGAGAATGGAGCAATGGATCTGGAGTAATCGTCTATAAGTGGAATGACAAGGATAAGAGGCCAAATACAGGAAGAAAAAAAACTGGAAAAAGAGATGGAGTTGTTGTGCTGAGTATGATGACAATGCTCCACCTTGTAGGCAAGGATGGCATGTCTCATATGATGATGGTTTTACATTATACTAAATCATATGTGATCACTTTTATTTAGCTGCATTAGATGCAAAATTGTTGCAGTTGCCCAAGTAATGCGATGACATACATAAAATCCTGTACAAATACCTCAAAAAGCAGCAATATTTTATACTTCAAATGAGCTTTAATGATAATTTTATACTTCAAACGAGTTCTTTTTCTTTTCTTTTTTTTTTAAATTTTACATCTGAGGAGCTTGGTACATAATTATTTTTCTGCTGTTTATTAATGTTAATAGATTATCCCAGAGGGAGGAAGCTCAATAAAACTGCAATTTATCAAGGACGATGAGAAAAATGATAAATTTAATAAGCGAGGAAGTCTAGAAAAGATCATAATTTGGTAAAAAAAGGTTAGCAGGAATAGGATTCACTAGGTTGTTGTTGTTGTTGTATGTTCAGTTGCCGGAAGAATGCGCTGACATGCATAAAATCTTGTAGAAATAACTCAAAATAGCAATAAGAGACACATTTATGTTGAGTCGAAGTGTTTATTTGATCACTAGCTAATAAGTAAGAATGTCTATCCGAAAGTACAATAGTATACAAAAGCGAATTTAAAAGTGGCCAGCCTATAGCTATTTTTCTTATTAGTTGCAAGTCGATAGTGCATTCCAGCGACCACCAAGGATTGTGGCGGAGTGGTAAGTACTTCATCATCCTTAATCAGTGATTTTTGGTTCGAAACCTGGGTATGGAGTCGTCTTTGTTAGGGGGTATTTTACCCTCCAGTGTGGGACTTCCCGGCACGAATCCGGTTATGATTGGGCCACAATACGAGTACCGAACACTAGGTAGGAAACCAAAAAAGAAAAGATCAACTTCAAGATGCAATGATACGCCCTATACATGATTGATTAATGACGATTCTCAACGATATCTTTAAGATCTCAAAGCTTACTAATCAAATTTGATAAAAAATGAAAACTTTGAATACTTTTCTTAGAAGTGTACAATTATTATTTTCCTGCATAGAGCATATTATTAATTGCCTCACAACTATTTCGTGCGAGTTCCTCTGCTTCTTAGTGTGTCTTCCACTATTAAAAAAAAAGAAGCAAACAAGTCAGTATAAGGACAACTACAAATAATAGAACCAACTATACCATTCACGCAAAACAAAAAATGGAAGCTACAATTTTCAAAAAAGACCCCCCTATATTTTCACAATATTTCTTACGCTTTTATTTACAATCAGTTGATAACAAATATTAATAACTGAACACGTTGATAAGAAACAAAAAAAGGTATATAACAAATATTTGAAAAAAGATCAATATCAATTAGAAATTATGTAATCAACTACATATTTATAGGGTAATATAAAATACAATTTGATTAGCTCTACAGGAAAATTATCTTGACTCAGAACTTTGCTCTTTTACAAGGAATAAGAATGATCCACGTCTCCCGACAAAGATATAACATTACCATGTTGGTCTAAATATAACAGATGGATCCCTATCTTCTTTATTGTAAAGTCCTCAGACCACACTTCTATCTTTTCCCCGCCTTTCATCATCTGGCCATCAAAAGGTTCATCTAAGTAAGATATGTAATATGCAAATGTCAGTTCTTTGTGTTCTTCAAGTGCCCACATAACAATTGGAGTCAATTTATGGCCAATACCAATCCAGAAGCTTGGATCATCATTGCAGGGTACATCGAAAACAAACCAGAGAACCATTCCTAAGAAGTTATACTCATCATTATTATGTGCCGGCATAGTCAAACACATAGATGAAGCTGTTACTTGATTCCTGCACCATTCTGGAATCTCTTTGCATTCCAGATAAATGCTAATATTATCGTTCTGCATCAGACAAAGACTCAAGATCATTAATATGAGAGAGAGAGAGAGAGAGAGAGAGAGAGAGAGAGAGAGAGACTAACCACATATCGGGCGTGTTCACTAAGTGCAAATAGAGCAGGTGCACTAAAGAAGCCTTCATTGAATGGATTCTGGAGAGAACTACAATTTATCATGTCGATCCACCTTATAGAAGGGAGGTTGTCCAACTCTGTAATCTTGACCAATTTTTGGCAATTCTTAAGTCCAATAGCTGCAAGATTCTCTAAATTTGATACTGACGGGAGTGTTTGAAGATTCTCACAGTCCTCCAAACACAACTCCTTCAATAATTGTAACTTAGAAAAATCAATGGGCAGACAATGGAAACTGTTGCCGGTCAAATCTAAAATCTGTAAGGAGGTTAAGCTCTCAATATCCCTAGGAATATCAGCCTCGGACAAATTACAATATGTAAGGCTCAAGTAGGATATAAAGGCTGGTAAGGAATATTGTAACCGATAGACTCCTCCAGAAATACTCCTTTTAGCCTTTAACTTTTGACCTCCCACTACCAACCTTTCAAGATTTCTTAGCATTTCAACAGATCTAGGCAATTGTTTTATACTCGTGCCATATGCATCAAGATATCTTAGACTTTTCATATCTCCAAGGTTATCTGATAGTGTTTTTATTGATGAGCAGCGACTAATGTTCAAGTAATCAAGGGATATTAGATGGCATATGTTGCTTGGAAGATCCCTAAGTTTTTTGCAACCAGACATATATAGTTCAATTAGTCTGGACAAATTTCCTATTGATGGATGGATCTCCGTCAGACTTGAGCAACCACTAAGCCATAAAATCTCAAGACTCCGTGAACCAGTGAAGTTTGGAGTGCTTCTGAGTTGCTCGCAATGAGAGAGATTCAGCTTCTTCAAACTTCTACAACACTAAAAGTAAACAAAATATAGTTTCAATTAACATGTTCTTTCACTCAGTTGCAATAAGAATACACATGAAATTGTAAAATTGAGTAACAAACCTTCAAATTCAATCGAAATTCTTGGATATTACTCTCCCGCATATCTAGAACTACAAGATTCTCAGCTGGAAAATTTGATGGTATATATTTTAAAGGACATCTTTTCCAAGATAACCATCTGAGCTCCTTGGACAACAACTCAAAATCTCCACTAATATGTAAATCATCCATTATAAGAACCCTAAGGGTTTTCATTTTCTCAAATGCTTTGGTGCTCAAGTTCACTCCGTTTAATGTCCCTTGATCTACCTTCAGTACTTCTACATTTTCGGAACCCTGTAGTTCGGTGGAAAGATTAGTATCTTACGACCATTTTAGGTCCCACATATTAAGAGGGGAAACTGTTTTATACCTATTGAAGGTCAAACAAAAAGGTTACACCATATCTATCAAGAAAAATGAACTTGCACATTAGAGGATGTTAAAAAAAAAAAAACGTAAAATTGCTCACAAAGCTAAGATGAGAGTCTTTCAAAAACTAGCTAGCACCATTCTATAAATTCACATGATAATATCAATGAGGAAAAACTTAAATAAACAGAACAATGTGTGTGTGTATTTGTATGTATTTATATAGCCTTTAGAGTTTGAAATGTCATTTCTTTTTTGCAACGGTTGACAAACTACTAGAAAAAACTAAATAACTAGAGACGAAAGCAAAAATGAATTTAATTCTAATGATGAAAATATAAATTATAAGTGGAAATAGAAAAGTATTACTAACTTTATTTCCTTGTAGAACATCATAGACTTCTTGCGGGATGAATAATCTACTCCGTTTTCCAGGATCTCGAGCTGATTCCATGCGAACGACTTCTCTTCCCATATCTCGCACTAAATGATGCATCTCCAAAAAATTCCAAGATCTTTGGAGCAAGTGTTTTTGGACTAAAGTTGCAATTGCACTTTTAGCATGAAAGCCACATGCATTTAATATTTCAGTAACTACACGCTCATCAAACCCATGGAATACGCATGCAATATCGAGAAAAACAGTCTGTGTTTCATCATCAAGTCCATCAAAGCTTATCTTGAGAATCTTTTGGATATCACTATGAGGAATTGCTCTTAGTTTTTCGACTTCATATCCCCATTCTTCTATAGAACTTCCTTGTAAATGTGACCCTAATGTCACAAGAGCTAATGGTAGCCTACCTGAATATTCAATTATGTCGTGTGCCAAATTAACATAATCTTGTGGTGGAAAATGTCTGTCAAAAGCATGCCAACATAAAAGTAACATAGCTTCATTGCCATTTAATAGTTTGGCCTCATATCTCTCTTTTTCTCCAAGCCGACATAGCAGTCGCTCATCTCGGGTGGTAATGATTATTAAACTATCCGAACCAAACCAACTTCTTTCTCTTGTCAAGGCTTCTAACTGTCTCTTATGGTCCACATCATCAAGAACAATTAGAACCTTCTTTGACCCGAGTCTTGCTTTGATTAGATTGATGCCTTGAGCAACACTGCCAACTTTGATGTCCTCAGTTTTGAGAATTTGTCGAAGAAGTTTCTCTTGTAGCTTGATGAGACCAAATTCTTCAGCTTCTGATCTAACATCTGAAAGGAAGCAACTACTATCAAAGAGTCGAAACATTCGATTGTAGATAGCTTTTGCCAGAGTTGTTTTTCCTATGCCACCAACTCCGTGAATACCAATCATGCAAACTCCATCTTCACATTCATTTTGCAATAACAACTCTATATCTTTAATACGAGAATCTACTCCAACTGGGTGCCAAGCAACATCCAGAGGTATCTGGTTAACCTCTTGTTGGATTTGTTGCATAATTTTTTCAATAAACTTTGATTCATGCCTACAAATTTTTTAGATAAAACAAAAAATTAAAAGAAACACTACTAGAATTCCGGAAAAAAAAGCGACCAAACTTTAGCGACCAAAGTTGGTCTGTCACGAGAAGCGACCAAAGTTGGTCGCCAAACTAGATAAAATAATAAAATAAATATTTGAAATACATTAGCGACTAACGTTGGTCGCCAATTGGTCGCAAAATTTGTCAAAATATTGACTACACTAATCAAACTTGCTTGGTCAAAGGTATACTGAGATTAGCGACCAATGTTGGTCGCTAAAAAGGACCCACCTATAAAATTTTAATAATTATATTATTATTTTATAAAAATGATAAAATATAAATTATAACGATCAGGCCAGTCGTTTTTAGAATTTGCACATCGTTTCCCTCATAACTGTTTCCCCTAAGTTTATCTATGCTATTTTGGTTTGCCGGGATGTTCGGTATTAGAATTTGGAGTGTATTGGGACAATTAGTCCCTAATTTAGAGCTTAAGTGTTGGAAAGTGATCCGTAATCGGAACAGTATGAAGACGACCTCGGAATGAAAATCTGATAGTCCTGTTACCTCCGTTAGGGGGTTGGGAGCATGTCTGAAACATGTTTCGGATGTCCGTAGCTCAATTAGGCTAGAAATGCCGAAAGTTAGAATTTTGAGGTTTTCGGTCCGATAGTGAATTTTTTATCAGAGGGTCGAAACGGGATTCTGAAAGTTGTTGTAGCACCGTCATGTCATTTGGGGCGTGCGTGCAAAATTTCAGGTCAATCAGACGTGGTTTGGTTAGGTTTCGGATCGAAAGCGAGTTTGGTTGAGTTTTGAAGTGCTTAGGTTCAAATCATTGATTAATTCGAGTTTCCGGCGTTGTTTTAGGTGGTTTAAGGATTGATACAAGTTTGAATGATGTTATGGGTTATGTCCGTGGGTTTGGTTGAGGTCCCGGGGGCCTCGGGTGTATTTCGGATGCTCAACGGAGCATTTTTGGAGTTTGAAAAATTACAGAATTTTATTGAGCTGTTGCAGGTCACTTTCTTCTTCGCGATCGCGTCCCCACTAACGCGATCGCATAGGCCAAACTTGGAAGGGCCCAAATTCCTTCATCGCGATCGCATGGACCTGTTCGCGATCGCGTACCTCTGCCATTCCGTCTTACGCGTTCCCATCCTATACCTCGCGTTCGCGTAGTTGAAACTGAGCCTGTGACTCAGTAGGCCAAATTCCTCTTCGTGTTCGCGTGCCTTAATACGCGATCGCGTAAGACCAGCTTCTCCTTGTACGCGATCGCATGCCTCTTCCCCCGATCACGTAGGCCTTTTTCCAAGGCCTCTATTTTTACGCTTCGCGATCGCAGCCCTATCCTTGCGGTCGCGATTTATTAAGCACCTGGGCAGTACTTAACATTTCAAAATGGGGGTTTTGCCATTTTTAACAAAACAAAGCTTGGGAGCTCGGATTTGGGAGAAATTTTGAATGTTTTTCAAGGGCAATTACTGGGTAGTGATTCTCTACTTCTCTATGACTAATACCCACTAATCTAATCTCGAATTCAACATTTAATTTCGGATTTTGAATAAAAATTGGGGTAAGGTACTTAAAACTAGGTATGAGGATTTGAAGGGGTATTTGACCTCCGATTTGGGAGATTTTTATATGGTTAGACTCGTGAGAGTACGAGGTTTCTGAAAATGTAAAAATTATTCGATTCGAGATGTTGTCCTGAGGGGCATTTTGGTCATTTTTACCTATTTTCGCGCCTTAGCTTTAATTTTAATAGTGTAATTAGTTACTTATGATGTTATTTATATTATGTAATTGGTTTGAATAGATTCGGGGCATTTAGAGTTGGATACTCTTGGCAAGGGCATCGTTTCGTAGTGATTTTGTTCCGGTTCGAGGTAAGTGGCTTGTCTAACCTTGTGTGTGAGACCTCTTCCCTTAGGACTTCTTATTTGCTGATTTAAATGCTTTGTGCGCGAAGGTGACGAGCGTGTACTTATGCTAATTATTGAAAATCCACTTTACTTGAATTATTTAAACTGTGTTCTCTTATTTATTTGACTGATTGTAATGCAAGATTTATCTGTGTTAGTTATAAAAGCATGATTAGATAGAATTAACTGCTTAATTGCTTATCTTGTCTAAGTTGTACCACATGAATCATGCTAGGTTAGTTTTACCAAATGGTTGGTGTTCCATATTTGATTTTTCCTGTATATCCTTGNGCATGTCTAAGTGACTTATCTGCTTTATTTGCTCAACCTGCCTTACCTAAATTCGGTGCAGCATGGTAGGCTAGAATCACTTATTTTACCTTAATATGAAATTGTCATTTCTGTATATCTTTCCTGTTGCTGCTGTTTGTTTATTTTGGGACTACGGATGTGGGATTCCGGGAGCTCCCCCTGCACAATTGTATGGAACTACGACAATGCAGCCGGTAGATTCCCCCAGTACTGGGTATTGATATGTTGGACTATGGGACGATATCCCGGGAGATCCTTCGGATAAGACAGATATGATGGACTACAGGACGGTATCCCGAGAGATCCACTGAGATAACTGAGAAAAGGACTACAGGACGGTATCCTGGGAGATCCTCTGAGTACTTGGCATTGAATTGTATTCTGTTGTGTTAGACTTTTGTTTTCACTTGACTGTTTCTTTACTCGTAATTTCCGCTAAATTGCTGTCATTCCATATTAGCTTAGCTGTTCATTTATATATTTCTTCTTTCTATTTTGTTATGTTTATCTCGGTAGGGCCTCGACCTTCCTCGTCACTACCCAACCGAGGTTAGGCTTGGCACTTACTGGGTACCGCCGTGGTGTACTCATGCTACTCTTCTGCATATTTTTATAAGCAGATCCAGGTGCTTCTGGCCAGGCGCACCATCAGTGAGTCCGAAGCTTATTATCGGAGACTAGAGGTATATCTGCTGCGTCCGCAGACCGGAGAGTCTCCGTCCATTCTATCTTGTAGTTAGCAGTACTGTTTCCCTATTTTTCTGTTGTATTACACATTCCAAATATTAGAGTTGTTCCTTATGTTTTCTCATAGCCTGTGTTGCCCGTGGGATTCCGGGTTTTGGGATATTATTTTCAGAGGTTGTGTTACAGTGTATGTGCCAAGCGGCACCGTTATACATCTCTGATGATATTTAGTGTTTGGTTGTTGTTTTTATATTAAATTGTTAATTCCACAATGAGTTAGGCTAACCTAGTCGTGAAGACTAGGTGCCATCATGACAGGTTCACGATTGGTGAACTAGGATCGTGACAAGTTGGTATCAGAGCTCTAGGTTCATAGGAGTCACGGGACACATGCCGGTTTATTAGAGTCTCGTTGATCGGTACGGAGACGTCTGTACTCATCTACGAGGGGCTATGTAACTGTTTAGGAAAAATATTCACTTCATTTGACTTCCCTGTCGTGCGAGATTTTTGACATCACAATTCTAAACTTCTGCTTCTTATTCTCTCACAGATGGTGAGGACACACGCTACTCGAGATGATCAGACACCCACGCCCCCTACTGCAGCCACTAAATGTCGGGGCCAAGGTAGAGGCCGAGGATGCGCACGGGGTGCAGCGAGAGAACCTGCGCGAGCTGCCGTCAAGGTACCACCAGCAGATTCATCCAGGGTTTAGGACCTTGTCACACCTACAACTACCACTACTCCAGCTCTTCAGGGACTTTGGTACAGTTCCTAAACATGTCTGGTACATTGATCCAGGGGGGATTGATTCAGGTTGTGTCGACTACTCCACAGATCGGGGAAGGGACCCAGACTCCCGCCGCCCCCACTTCAGAGCAGCGAGTTCCTATTAGTCAGGTTTTGGGTGTCACGACAGCACTGCATGTGGTCCCAGTTCAGCGGGTGATGAGGACCTCTCGCCAAGAGGGGGATAGACGAGGTCAGGAGGGGGAGTACAGAGGAGTGAGTAGAACTCGTAAGTCCATTGGCCCTTATTTTGGAGGAAGAATACGACATGGTAGAGGTTTTTGGGGTCAGCCAGCTTAGTTTTCATCTTAGACTTTACACAGGGTTCCGGGTGTTCAGGGATTTTAGAGTACCCGTACTATACAGTTTCCACCGCCATGCCCTCCCAGAGCTTGTCATGAGTGCGGGGACACCCGCCATGTAGTGAGGGATTGCCCTAGGTTTGGGAGGAGTGTGCCTCCACAACATCATCATCAACAGCGTGCCCCACAGAGTTCTCAGGCCATGGGTATAGCCCCGGATGCTACCCCACCTACCCATATTGAGGATGTTGCCTCCGATTCTGTCGTCGCAGGTATTTTACATGGTTTGTTGTAGAGGTGCGTCGATTCTAATCGACCTAGTCACCCCTGATTCTTATGTGTCTTCTTATTTTACTCCATATTTGGGCGTAGCCCAAGATTCTTTGAGTTCTCCTGTTTATGTTTCTACTCCCTTGGGAGGTTCTCTTATTGTGGACCACGTATATCGGCCGTGTTTGGTTACTGTCCGTGGTTTTTAGACCAGAACAGATCTTTTATTACTCCATATGGTGCATTTTGATATTATCTTGGGCATGGACTGGTTGTCGCCCTATTTTGCTATCCTTGATTGTCACGCTAAGACCGTGACACTGGCTATGCCAGATATTCCGCGTATTGAGCGGAATGGTACTTTTGATCACACTCCCACTAGAGTTATCTCTTTTCTTAAAGCTCAATGTATGGTTGAAAAGGGGTGTGCCGCGTAGTTGGCTTATGTGAGAGATGTCAATGTTGATACCCCTTCTGTTGATTTTGTCCCCGTGGTACGAGACTATCCTGATGTTTTCCCAGCTGATCTTCCGGGCATGCCGCCCGATCGGGACATCGATTTTGGTACTGATTTGTTGTTGGGCACTCAACCCATATCCATTCCTCCTTACCATATGGCCCCTCCTGAGTTAAAGGAGTTGAAGGATCAGTTACTGGAGTTGCTTGATAAGGGTTCTATTCGCCCCAGTGTTTCACCATGGGGTGCTCCTATCTTGTTTGTGAAGAAAAAAGATGGTTCTATGCGTATGTGCATCGATTATCGTTAGTTGAATAAGGTTACTGTGAAG